CAGAATATGTTTTATATACATTTCTTATGCAAATCTAATACGTTAATGTTGAGATAATGTTACGTCAAACATAGCCATATATTTAATATCAAACATTTTCAAATATTTTATGAAGGGCTTTGTTTGCTGAAGTCTGGGCTAAAAATGAAAGGCTATATTCTGTGCCGTGAAATGTAAACCAGATTGTATAAGCAAGCAGTGTGGCCTATGTGGCTAAAATAAAGGAGAGTAATTTTTCTCTTGTAATATGAACAATTCCTTTAGAAAAATACATGTTTAAAGGGGGTATTTTGAAATTTTCAGTTATCAAAATGCCTTATGTTGGCAATACATTACAGGTAGTCCCTGTCTTACAACCACAATTGGGACCGGAATTTCCATCTCTAAGCGACGCAATCATAAAGCAAGACATCATCGCTTAGCAACCACATCCCAGCAGTCCTGATTGCTGTTGTTAACCAAGAATCGCGGGTCGTTAATCATGAGTACCCACCACAAGCCGTTCCGGGCTTGGTTCCTCCCAACCTTGAGCTTCAGTAAGGTAAGGGACTGTCTCCAGCTCCCCCCACCCGCCTATCTCCTTCCCCATCTCTGCCCTTCTGGCCACCCTGCACCCTGTCTTGCGGGGCAGTAAACAGCCCCAGAATTGTGCAGCTCTAGGGATGCCTGCCATGCCCTGGGAAGCCGCAGCCATCCCGGCCCAGTCCCAGCTGCAGTTGCCCTCGCTGCCCTGCACCCCGAGACCCCTGCCACCCTGCGCTCCACCACACCAGTTGACCTTCACCTTCTTGCTTCCGCTGCTAATGAGGCATGCCTGGAGCTGGGCTAGGCTTTTGCTTCATGCTGCAAAAAAAAAAAGGCTAAAGGCAGCTCCTGAAGCACAGCGCACCAAAATGCCTCTCGGCACCGCACAAAGCCAAAAGCCCAGCCCAGGAGCGTGGCGCAAATGGGCATTTTGGCATGCAGAGGCTCAGGGGCTGCTTTTAGCTTTTTGGGGGGGGGGCAGCCAAAGCCCCGCCCGGCCCCGCCCAGCAGGCAGGCCGGGGAACACTTGGCAGCCAGGGGGGGAAGAAG